TCTCAGGGCCGCGCTGCGTGATCAAATAATATTGTGGAATTTTAAACCTTTTGCACTCGCGGCCCCTCACTTAGTGCCTGTTCACGAGTTACCTGACATCTGTCCCATCTGCCTAAAAAGGCGATGCCGCGAAAATGAAAAGGTCTTCTAAATTCTTGCACAGAGTGCCGTAGTATTTTAAAAACAAACGTCCTGCTCGCTTGGAAGGAGAAGAAGGGTTCAAGTGTACTCTTATAAAGAGCTGCTTTTCTCTTGAAGATTTAAGGCGAATTCCTCAATCAAGAACATTGCAGTTTTTCATGATGTACCGCATTCCTACTTGCAGGCAGGTTGACTCACTCGTTTTGTAGGGTGCTATGGTCAGGGTTAATCAGCCATACCTATCTTAAGTTTGTATCGAACTATACGCAACATTTTTAATATGCAATTTGAAAAGTGGTTTTGCCTGGGCAGATGGGCCTCCTCTCTCATTTTTTTTATCAAACTCGGCCGTGGTATTTTGCATAATGGGCGCCGGCCCCTAGCACGCGCGTCCAAAGGCTGAAAGTACCTGTCAGTATCAACAGTTTTCTTTCTCTCTGTTTTTGTTTCCGTTATGCGTGGTCGAGGCCACCACGGCTCTCTCTCCCACTCGACGTGGCGTCCCAGAGGCACATCAGTTACAGTCATTGCCCGTGATGGAAGGGTGTGGCGAGGGAGAGGGGAAAGTAAGCCCACTCCGTTTGCATATTTTCTCTGGGAACAATTTCCACCGCCACAAGAGTTCACCCATACGCCAACACGCGCGACGCGCGATGCGCGCACTTGCGTTTATCTACAACCTTGCCTCTGGCGACACTGCAAAGTCAAGTCATTAAACTCAACCCTGTGCGATATTAGGAATCCAATTTCATGGCATCTGAGGGAGCCATATCAATGTACATTGCTCGTTTAGAGTTGTTTTGTGACATTTTTGGTGGGTAACAAACAAGACTCAATCTAAGTCATTCCGCAAACATAGATCGTTTAGATTCGTTTTTGCGACATTTCCGGTTCCCAGTAAGACTCGTTTTTTGTCATTTTCTCGCAAACAACGCTCTGACTCAGAGCCAAAACATACGTATCGCTCTATTCGGGCAAGAAAAATGACTAACTTTTTTTACAGTGCGAGACGAGGATGAGGCCCGGCAACAACGGCCACTTAATTGATGCGTGACCAGGCGTGACGTCATATACGGGGCCCGCGGGGACCCACCCGCCGGACCGGGGTGGGGGACCCCCGAGGAGTGTTGGTCTGAGTTGGGCGTACCGCTTGTTCGCGGGGCGCCAGGTGCGGCCGGGCCGGGGTCCGTACACCGGGCGCGCCCGAGGAGGGGTGGGGCGGGGCGGGGCGTGATGGGCCCCGAGTGGGGCCAGCCTGGCCAGGCCGTACCGTGCGCCGCAGCCCTTGGTAATTGGATCTCATCGCCGTTTAGCATACCGTAAATATTTGCCCCGTAAAGATGGGAGGAGCGCGCCCCTATGATGGCCGACGTAGGCAGGGCACGGCTACAAGGCGGCCGCTTGTGGACCTGGCTGCTGCTGCTGGACCCTCTGGCCCATACAACTTCCGTCCGGTGCGGTCGCCTCCCTTCCCCGTCCGTGCGAGGCGCCTGGCGCACGCTAAAACGTGCAGCCCCTCGGCACCGCCCGAGGCACTATCCTCAGCATCGTCCTCAGTGCCCCGTCCTCACAAAGGAACCCCGCCAAATGTAAATTTCCGATTTTCATTTCTACTTTGAGAAATTGTAGCTCTTGATGTGTCACCGAAGGACACATCAAAACTTTTTGCTCAAATTCATATTCAGGGGTCATTTTGGGCATTTGTTCCAAAAGCTGCTACTTCAACTATTTTTCATAATTTTTGAAATTGCTTTCCTGCTGGTAACTCGGCAAATTGCGCCCCTTCGAGCGAAAATTTCGTCCGTTTTGCTCCATTTCATCGCTACCGCCACGTTTAGGAGGGGGAAATGTACGGGAATTACTACGGCTTAAGAGCAGCGGTTGTAAAAAGCAGTCCCACAAAAAAATGTTAGAAAACAAAAGTTAAAGAGCTTAGATTTCTCTACAACCACCTCTATACAACCTGCAGTTCTATGCCGGGCAGTTATTCGTTCGCGGAGAGGTGTGGCGGGGCCCGGGGCGGAGCGAGGTGGTGAGGCAGAGAGGGTGGGGCGGCCGGGCAGCCTGGCTGGCCGCCGGCAGGTGGTCCGCTCCCCCCGAGGCCCCTCCCCTGATTATGTAACTAGCTGAGCGGACCTGTCAAAGACGCACAAGAGTTATGTCGCACCTGGCTCGGATGAGCCCCAGACCGCCGCCCCCCGTCCTCTTTCAACACAAAACTGAAATTCTGAGTCTTTGGATGGCCCGTTATTGGGCGTGTTTGAGACTACTTCCTAAAACCCGCCTCCGACCGGGGGGGGG